AGAAACAAGTCAGTCACAAAAGGACAAATACTACATGATTTCACTTATATGAGGTTCCCAGAGTAGTCAGATTCATAGAGACAGAAGAGAATGGTGGTTGCCAGGAGCTGGGAGAGTAGGGGATAGAAGGTAATTGTTTAGCATTACTTTCCTCTGCACAAAGTGTCAATGGTATCTCCACTGATAATTGAAAAGCACAGACCATTTAACCTTTCATTCATAACTGTGACTCCTCCAATCTATTTCCCAAGCATATTAGCTCACATTACTCCCCTATATGCATGCTTCCCAATCCCATTTCACATGTTTTCCTAAGTTATATCTCAACTATCATCTGATACCCTTGTTTTGCAAAACACACACTTTTTACATAGCTAAGAATTCCCTAAAGATAAATGAAAAATGAAAGAGAGTGATTGGGAGAGAATTTGTGAAAGCAGAATTTCATATTACGGGAAAAATCCTCATTTTGCTTATATTTAATTGAGAAACACTTCATAGAAAACAACAGCCTTTTAAAGAATGTTGGGGCTGGAAAGGTAAGAAGGTAGCTAGCAAGTAAGTGGCAGAAAAACATGACTAAGTATTGCTGGCACAACTGCTTATCCATTTTAAAAAGTAAAACTGGATCTTATAGCATAAACAAAAATCAATCCCAGGGAGATTAAGGATTTAGATGTGAAGAAAAAAAAGCACAATTTAAAAGATTTATAAGAAAATACAGGCAACATCTTTATGAGCTTGAGAGTAGAAGAGGGTTTTTTAATCCAATACAAAATACATAAACCATAAAGGACAAGAGTGAAAATTCTGATATTAAATCTGTGATTTAAAACTTCACTGGGATAATTTAAGAGGTAAAAACACAAACTACAGACTGGGAAAAGTTTTTTGAAACACATATAAAAAACAAAGGATCACAATTCACATAATATAAAGAACTTTTATGAATCAATAAGGAAAAGACACTTCAATATTTAAAAATGAGCAAAAACCATGAACAAGCATCTTGCAGAAGACAAAATAGGACTGTCAATAAACATATTTTAAATGCTCACTGTCATTAACAGTCAGGGAAATATATGTTAAAACCACAAAGAAATACCATTTAAATCCACCAGTCAGGAAAAACTTAAGTCTAGATACCAAGGTTCACTAGAATATGAAGTTCAATTATTAAGGGCACAGATTTCAGGGTTCCAATTCTGGCTTTTTCATTTATCACAGAATACCATAGGCAAGTAATTTATCTCCTACAAGCCTCGGTTTCCTCAACTACAAAATGAGGAAAAATACCAGCACATGTGTAAAATACATTATTATTAATATCATCATCACTACATTGTGCCCTTGACCGGAATTGAACCCAAGACCCTACAGTCTTCAGGATGACACTCTATCCTCTGAGCTAAACCAAATGATGGGAAAACAGGTTATTGCATTAGTCTTTAGCTTTTACAAGATCAATACATATTGCTTTGTGTACATAAAGCATTTAATAATTAAATGTTTAAATGCCTGTGCAAAAGTCCAGGAAAAAAGAACAGCAGTTATTACTATAAAATCGCTTGAAATACCTGTGGTAATATCCATCCTATTGTTCTCAGGATTTACCATAAATAACTATAAGAGAAATCCAAACGCACTGTAGTAGTAGCTTTATAGCTAATCTGCTTAAAAGTACTGAGCCCAGGAGGTCAGTTCAGCATAGAGCCATGGCTGGCAAACTGCGGCTTGCGAGCAACATGCAGCTCTTTGGCCCCTTGAATGTGGTTCTTCCACAAAATACCACGGCCTGGGCAAGTCTATTTTGAAGAAATGGCATTAGAAGAAGTTTAAGTTAAAAAAATTTGGCTCTCAAAAGCAATTTCAATTGTTGTACTGTTGATATTTGGCTCTGTTGACTAATGAGTTTGCTGTCCACTGGCCTAGAGGAAAAAATGAGTTAGAAATGAACCTTGAAGATCTGCCTATGCTTAACGGCAAGTGGAAGAGAAATAAACAAAAAACATTTTGAAGTCACCAGTTCTTTTTCCTATGGTTCTTATAAATCTACTAAAGGCCTGGTGTATGGAATTTGTGCACGAGTGGGGTCCCTAGGCCTGGGCAGAGATCAGGGCCTATCAGGGCCATCTCACCCAGTTCCAATTGGGGCTGGGTCAGCTGGGTCCTGCCAGCTACCATATGGGGCCTGCTGGACGGGGCCAGAGGGATAGGGGGAGGGGCCAGGGAAGGTTGGCTGGCCATGGGAGGTTGGCTGTGGAAGTGCACTAACCACCAAGGGGCAGTTCCTGCATTGAGCATCTGCCCCCTGGTGGTCAGTACTCACCATAGCAACTGGTTGTTCCAGTCACTTAGGCTTTTATATCTATAGATTTGTCATACAATGCTCTTTATTCTGACTGGTAACATTTTTCAGACAAAATGATTTTCCAACTGTTCCTCTAACTGTTAGAGTCTAACATCTCTAAGTTCCCTCTTTGCCTTCAGTCTCATTATTCTTTAATAAAAAAAAAAAAAATAAAAAATAAAAAAAAAAAAAAAGCTCTTTCTAAATTCCAATTCTGTTCATACCATCACTCTTTAGTGGAAATTCTTCCATGGGTCCCACTGGCTAAGGATAAAGCAGAGTGAACACTCTGTAATTAACAAGGCATCAAGGCTACTTACCACACTTTTGCTCATCGTTTGCCAGCTCATTCTGTGATTGCAAAGTTTTAAAGTGGTGGTTCTCAAATTGTGGACCCTGGATCATCAAGATCAGCATTCCCTGGGAACTTATTAGAAATGCACACCTAGGCCAGACCTACTAAATTGGCATAACTCTGTGGGTCAGTCTAATAGTTTAAGTTTTAACAAGTCTTCTAGTTGGTTTTAAAGCATACTAAAGTATGAGCATCATTGGCTTAAAGCATGAATGAAAGGTAAATTATTATTTCAAGAACTCTATGGGAAAATTGGAAAGTACTCTGGGCACATTGGTTAGAAGCACAGAGTCTGGGGTCACACTACCAGGATTCAAACTTCTGCTAGGCTTCTTCCTGCTCTGCAATCACGGGGCCTTTCCTTAGCTTGCCTCAGCACAGGGTAATGTTTAAGAGCACAGGTCCTCAGTAAGACTGCTTGGATTTATGGTAAATCTTGGCTCTACCCTCATTACCTGTGGGTCCTCGAACAAGTCACTTCACTTTCTCTGAGCCTCAGTTACTTCACTTAATGAAAAAGTATAAATAATAGTACCTACTTCATGCAATTTTTGTGAAGATGAAGAGAGTTAATATAGTACTGTGATTAGAACTGAACCTGATATACAATAGGCATGTGTTATTATTCTGATGATAACTGTTAGTAATTTCATAGGGGCCTTGTTATTTTCTGGGAGATAAAAAGAGTCAACACTAATGCCCACAGAAAGTAAACAAAATTTATCTGTTCTGATAAGGAACAATTTTCCTTACTTGACTTTTTAGATATAATACATGACTTTTTTTTTTTCTTCAATATTGCATTCACTTCCCCCAGTTTATTTCCTTCCAATGAGAGAGCACTGAGCTAGAAGCAATGATCTCTCCAAAAAGTCAAGAGGTCTGCCTTGACGCGTTCTTTATTTCACATTAACTTTTCCCTTAAACAAAAACTTGCAAGAATAAAAATGAATTTACTGAACCATATTCCTCTGGTCCAAAAAATACTTCTGGGGATTATTGTAAATACATATCCAGGTTTAATTTAGCTGGAAGCTCTACTTGTAAAGGTGACATTAAGCCACATATCCACATAGTCTTGATAAGGATGCTGAAAATATCACGATACAAAGATCTGGACAAGAGAACTTTGTGTGTCTCTCTTCTCACTACAGAGAGGTCAGACTATGTCCCCCAGCCAAATCACACGGAGGCCGGAGCCAGAGCACCTTCGGTGCAGAGCATATTCTATGGAACATAAACAAGCATAACAAAATCATGTATTCAGAAGACACACTAACTAGATCTAAGTGATACAAAATTATGCAGTGATTTTTTTCAAGCGTCCAAAGTATTTAACATCATATTTAGAAGATGAGAGAAAATATACTGGAACAAGTCAAGAGCCAAATTTTAAATATGGGGGTCATTACTGAGAATTTACTGTTCCTTCGAACCATACAGGTTGAACCTGGTTTGAAATTAGTTTAGTCATCAACTATGTAATAGGGGTTCTGGAATCCTCTGCTGCACAGTCTCTAATAGAGATAGACAGAGAGATTGAGAATTGAATGCAATGGGAGGCTTAGGATTTTTACTTGCATGTGACAGCCACATGTTCTACTGTGTGTGTTTTGTGTGTGTGTGTGTGTTTTGTGTGTGTGTGTGTGTGTGTGTGTGTTTTCTTGGAACCCTAAACCTTAACTATGAGGTGAACCGAAGGAATTTTGGCAGAATCTCTTTTCACAGCTTCCTACTTTAAAATGGAGGTCACAGAATACAAAGAACATTTAATCAACCTGGTTTTCAAGGCATCTCCTCAATGCAATAAGTTTTATATTGAGGGTAAAAGAAAGGTTAACGAATTAAGATTACTCAATTTTTAAAAGGTATCAACATGCTATGGCAAGTCAACATGAATAGCTCACATTTCTGATAACCTGATACTACACATTTCAATTACACAGAAAAGGAAGGTAATGAAATCAGTCATCTTTTACGACTGAAAATCCACAATGGCAAAGAAAACTACTAATCTAATAGTTTAAGAAAAGCATGCAGGATGCGTTATCTATAACAAAATATCTGTAACACTAACCTTCCTTTCTTTTTTCTGAAAAAAGAAAGCAGCGTTTTCTCTGAATAGGAATTAACTCAAGATTCTCTAAAATAAGAAAAACTGTTTCCAGCCATAAAATGCACACGATAGATAAAATGCAGCTTTCCCGTAGCATGTGTGTAAGTATTAACCACACAGACCCTGAGAAGGATCTCTGGCTTAATGCAGTCCTCTAGGTAAATCATCAGAACTCTTACCTGTATCGTCCTCTGAGTGCCATCAACGTTGACAGACAATAAGGGTGAAGCCAGGTTCCATGTGCTGGTCACATTTAGTTTCGACCCATCAACTTCCACCTGTTGTGACACCAAATAAGACTGTTACCAGGAAGAAAGAAAGAAAGAAAGCTGATCTCAAGTTCACTGCTACATGCAAAGCAGCAGCCATTTTAAACAGATGGCTCCCAAACAACCTGTCATGTTTACTGCTCCCACCATGAAAGACAGGGTCCAACAGCGTCTTCCCAGCCCTCTCTGGGGAGAGGTGAAGGGCCTGAGCACAGCTGCCTTTGGGTACTGAGGTTTCAAGATTTCCACTTTGTAACAAACAGCCTTCTAACTCCAAACCTACCCGGACATGCTACATTTACTGCAATTAGACAAGTAATGCTTATAAATTCCAGTGACACTTTGCAACCCACACAACAGGGCCTGCATATAATATCCTCTCCAAGGACCAAGAAAGAACTTTTCTGTGTTGATTTTAACGAAGGACTATGTATTGTTATCTTAATTAAACAGAAGCTTTAATTAGGTAAAATTCTTTGGTACTGAGAATTAAAAGTCTATTTTGAACTTTGCAAATTCTGTCATATATTTGCTGATCGTCAAGTTATGAGTCATGAAGATTAAAAAAAACAAAACCATGATCTTTTAAAACAGATATTCTTAAGAGAAAAATTTTAACTTTTAAATAAATAACATAAAAGCAACTGAAAGAAAAATAAATAAAAGCGAATTTAAAAATAAAAGTACTATTAGTTATTTCTTCCCTTTCACTTACTCATTCTCTCTTTAATGAGCTAAAAATGAGATTTTTAAAAAACGTAACATTATTATTTTAAGTCTACACTAAACAACCCTAACAAAGAGATATTCAAGTTTGTTGAAGTTTCAAAATAAACCTTTAGCAGAGCCAAGATATATGATCCCTAAAAATTCCCACACTCACTTAATTCTCTTGAAAGACACTTACTGATTAAAGAAAACACATTTTATACTGTATTTGTTTGAATAAGTACTTATATGTAGATATTTTCTCTATAATGTGGTCATAAAGTATAGAAAACAAAGATATGCTACTGGCTATGTAATGAAATATCAATAGGACATATATGGGGTAGGCAAAAATGGGTTTAGAGTTGTTCATATAGAAAAAAAATACAATCTATATATACAAAAGCCTAAGTGACCATTACCTCCACATGTCCAGAATGTCAGGCCGACCAGTTGCTATGATGAAAACTGACCACCAAGGGCAGATGCTCAGTGCACTCCCACAGTCAACCTCCCATGGCAAGCCAACCTCCAATTCTTCCCCCGGCCAGCAAACCTCCCGTGATTCCTCTCTGTCCCTCCTGTCCCATCCAGGACTGGGCAAGATGGCCCTCATAGGCCCTGATTGCTGGCCAGGCCTAGGGAATTTCTTGTACCGGGCCTCTGGTAGTTAATAAATAATAATACAAAAATAAACTTTCATGTACTCACAACTGTAAACCTACTTTTGCCCATTCCTGTATTATCCACTCACTTGTGTTTTCAGATTTAGTGGTCTCCCTATATATACAGTATCATTTAGTAACTGGAGATGGGGGTGGAGGAGGAACAAGCAAACAAAATCAAAAAACACACACACACACAAAAAAAATGGCTTTGGAATGAGACTGACCTGAGTCTCATTTGATATATTTTTAAATTTTATTCTTGAATTACACTTCATATTCAATATTATTTTATATCAATAACTATGTATAGTGCCAGGTGGGTACTTGAAATATGGGGGGACCACTTTGTAAAGTATATGAGTGTCTAACCACTATGTTGTACAATTGAGTCTCACTTGAAAGATGTTTTACCAAGTTAGAATTAGTTATGAAAGCTGGAGTATAACCAGCCTGAGCTTTAGTTTCTAAACTATAATATAGTAAAAATATTTGTCCAACTATAAAAAATAATTAAGTAAACATACGGAAGTCTCTACCAATATATCTGTTATGGTAGTTCCTAAACATTTTCTCCCTTCACATGTCTCTAATGGTTTTACTACCTCACCCTTAAGTAAGTTTCAAAAATAAGGTCAGATAATCATACTATATCATTCATTAATTACTATTAAAACACATGATAAAGATCTGAGAAGTAGAAAGACTTGTAGTTTTGATTAAAGCAGCACTAATACATTTTAAATGATCCTGTTTAGCCCTTCTCCCCAAATTAAATATCTCCTTATAATGAAAGATTTCCAAAAGAAACTCTCAACAGAGGTTAGAAACAGTAAGTGCTAAAAATACTTATAAAACTGAAAATATTTGCTTTTAAATTGCTTCTAAATGTAAAAGTTTTTTTTAAAAAAGCTCAATAATCAATTACAAAGTTTTATTTGTCAAAAAAAAAGAAGCTAGATGCTATAAAAAATCTGAATAATTATTTAAAAATTTGTATTTGATACTAATTTCAAATCCAAAGGGTTAACAGAATGAAACTGCAATTGCCATCTTTAGGGCATATGAAGGGGAAAAACAACAACTAATCTACTCAAATCATATTAGAGGAGGAACAAATTTACTACAACCTGAAATAAAACATTTTTATGACTGTTCAAACAGAATGTGCTATATCCATACAAGATAATATTATTTAGCAATAGAATGAAGTAAAATATTGAATATGCTACAACATGAGTGAACCTGAAAACATAATGCTGAAAGAAGCCAGTCACAGAGGACCACAGTTATATAGTTCCATTCACCTGAAATGTCCAGAAGAGAAAATCTATAGAGACAGAAAGTAAACTAGTGGTTTCCTAAGCAAGGGTGGGGGAGAGCGGTGGAAATGGATGGGGGGTTGAGGGTGGCAACTATGGGTAATGGGCCTTATTAGGCATTATAAAAATGTTCTTTAATTGACTGTGGTGAGGGTTATACAACTCTGTGAATATACTACAAGCCAATGAATTGTACAATGAATTGTACAAAGACTTCACCAAAGAAGAAAAATTTAATGGACAAATGGTAAGGAATGTGAATTATATTTTAATAAAACTATTTAAGAAGTAACAAAAAAGTAGGGAGGGAATGCTATTCTTTCAAAAATTAGAAGCAGAACTTTTGTGATAAATTAAAGATGACCTAAAAATGAATATATATGCATATAAAATGTTAATAAATTAGAAGAGGTTTAGTATTATTGTTATCTCCTAAATTGATCTATATAGTCAGTGTAATCTCAATTTTTAAAATCTAGCAAGCTTTGGTTTTTCAGTAGAAATTGATAAGTTGATCTCAATTAATATATAGAATATTGAAGAATTTTGAAAAACAAGCAAAGGTACAGTAATCAAGACACTAATGTAAGAATAGACATTTATTAAAAACAAAACAAAACTGAGAGTTCAGAAACCCACACATAAATGGCTAGTTGATTTTCCCAAAAAGTGCCAAGTTGGTAAATGTAGAAATGTAGTTTGTCAACAAATTGAACATCTTTAGTAAAAAAAAAAAATAAACCCTACGCCATCAACTACATTCAAAGCTATTAAAATTAAATGTAAAACCTAAAACTTTGTAAAGAAAACATGAGGGAAAATCTTTATGAATGACCTAGGGCCAGGCAAAGATTTCTTAGGACACAAAAATAAAAATCTAACAAGAAAAAGTAGATGAACTGGAACTTATCAAAATTATAAATTTATGCTTAAAGACACATAAGAAAAGAAAAACCAAGCCATAAATTGGGAGAAAATATCTGCAGAATACATTTCCGATAAAGGACTTATATCCAAAATACACAAGTAACTCTCACTTATAACTCAATAAGAAAAACTAAATTTTTTTTTAATGGGCAAAATATTTTATCAGAGACTTCACCAAAGAAGAAAAATAAATGACAAAAATATAAATCACTGACTGATCATTAAAAAAAAACGCAAATTAAAATTAAAACTGTAATGAAATTGTACTACATAGCCATTAGAATGGCTAAAATGAAAAAGAGTGATAAAATACTAAGAGCTGATAAAAATATAGAACAATTAGTATTTTCATTTATTGTTGGAAGAATGAAAAATAGTAGATCCACTTCAGAAAACCCCAGAAAAGTGAAAATATATATACATTACAAAGAACTATACGTGAATGCATAGAGGTTCATTTATGATAGCAGAATATATACCAGAATGTTACATACACAAATGGAAATTTTTTTTAAAAACCAATAAACTGATTAATGGGTAACCAAATAAAGTATATCCATACAATGAAAAAGAAATTAGCAATAATCATCTCAAAGGCATTACACTAAGTGAAAGAAAGCTGACACAAAAGAGTGCCTGCTGTATGAATCCTTTAATGACAGATTAGTGGTTTCTAGGAGTTAAGGGTAGAAGAATAACTTTGACTACTAGCAAGAAGGGCTACGAGGAAGATTGGGGGGTGATGGAAGTGTTCTAAATCTTGATTTTGGTGGTGATCATACAGAGATATATTTTTGTGAAAACTCAATCAAACCATCAATTAAAAAGAGTAAATTTTAAATAAATCATATATCAAATATGACTTTGAAAATTGAAAGGGAAGAAAAACCTATCTCTTTAAAAACTGAAAATAGTATTTTGAACTACATTTGATATATCTTCCCTTCCTGAAAAACTGAGTTCTCTCCATGCATCCTCTGCTATTGAATGAATAAATATAAATGTTAACTTGGCAAGTAGGACATAAGGAAAGTTCCTTCCAGACAGAAATGTGAAAATTAAAAGAGGCCCTTTTCAAGAAACATATATGCAAATTTTAATGAGGAAAGAGAACATGCTGGAAGCCATCATATGCCTTCTCAGGCCTAATTTTTTTACGCAAGAGTGACTGAAGCAAAAGATGTAAAGTAGCATTTCCTTATTCTCACACAGAACATACCACTCTATCTTTTCAATGCCAAAAGCAAATGAAACCTAGTACAAAGAAAATAACATATTTAGTGAGAGAACATTCAGGTAACAAGCTTAACAAGGAAAAGCTGCAGGTTATCCATGCTTACACCAAATCATCTACCCTAATGCAACATAAACAATAATCAGAATAAGCAATATTAGATATTTGCATACT